CGCACACGAAAGTGCCAGATTATAACAGATTGGTACCAATTTCAGAACAGATGGAAACCCACCGGTTTCCCAGGTCAGGAGTCGGCGTCCCGACCCTGAGGGGGAAGTGCGGTTGAGCGGCGTCCTGCCCACAACAATCCCAGAACGCTCCGGAGCTACCGAACAGAAAACAGATGGAAGGGGAAATCCCTTACCCAGATCCTCGAGGCTGAAGTCTTAGTCCGAATTAGCCGAATTGAAAGCCAGAACAAATGTAGGTGCGGAGGGCAACGAGGCAGCCCTCTGCGTAGTCTGAGGAGGTCAACCCCATGGAAAAGGGGGACCTCACAGCTGATCTCGCTGGGGCCTCCAAATGTAACCCAGGAGATCGACCACACTCAGACTCGATTTTTCAGTTTTTGGGGATGTTTTATTACCTGCGCAGGGACTGCAGTCAACCTACACAGAGGAGAACTGCAGCCCCGAGCTCAGGGGGAGGGTTGCTTAAATAGGGCAGGGGTCATTCAAGAGTTTAGCAGAGCAAGCAAGCTGCTTGTACAGAAGTGGAGGCAGTTAGCGATAAGCAGGAGGGAACGGAGGTGGGAGGGAGCTGAGGCGAAAGGGAACTGGGTGAACTGGGTCAGCATACATCTACTCTGCTATTCATTTCATTATCCAAGTTTTAAAAACTAACAAATTCGAGACGGATATCAGCGGTCAGTCAGGTGCAATACACACATGTTGAACAGTTACAGTTTTATGGGGTAAAGGGAGCTTCAGTTTCTCCCTATCAGTTTCTTTACAGAGCATGCAGGACACTCTGGCCTTGGGGCCGTTTCTGTCCTCCCTTTTCTTGAAGGATGTTGCTTTTCAAATTTCCAGTGAAGGTCAAACTCTGGTTAATTTTTATGGGGCTAAAGCCCTCTATAACATTCCCCATTGTTCATCTTGCTGTCTCTGAGGTTGTTAATTAGGGCAGCTTAAAGACAAGTTGGATTCTAAGGACAGTGAGCTACAACACAGTCCTGGGCAGGTAATCTCCCCAAGGACATCTGTAAGTGCCCCACTCACTACTTATTTACTAAATTATCTTGCTAAATTAAAACTACGTCATTTGCTTCGTGCAGCCAAGTATCCAACAGTAACAAAAAAACTGTCCAACTCATTTTTGGAATGTGTTCTAGAATTTTGTTGAGCTTCAATAACCCTTTTATTGCCACACACATACAAGGTCACAAATGTAGAGGATCAAAACCACAGATTACCTAAATTACTTACATATTGAAGGACTGATAAGGACTTTGAGAGAAAATCTACATCGACCCCACTCCCTTTTCCCTTCTGCATCGGAGAGCCTACTGTTGACCAATTAATGCTGTGCATGCTCGAGGTATAGCGATAAACTGGACATGGACTGGAATTACAGAGGAGCCCCTTTTGTGAAAACCTGTAACTCTCTTGGATGAAGTAAGCTCTAGGGGAAATGTATAAATTGTGAAGTCTATACCAGAAGGAAGGAGTATAGTGATCTCATCAAACAGCTGACCTTGACATTTTGTGGGCATGAGGGGAAAGATGAATGCACAAGCAGTCGGGTGGAGCACAGGCAGTACTCATTGTTCCAGGAAGAGAAACCAGCTTGCAGAGAGGATTGGAGTCCAGACAGATGAGTGGTGGAAATAATAAACAGGGTAGGTGGAGAGTGGGTTTGTGGACAGATTTCGAAGCTACCTATGGCATTATGCATTCTTGAACCTAGTATGCCAAATTATTACTGGCAGATATCATTTGTCAGACAATGCTCTAGACGCTGCAGACACCCTTCTGCAGTTAAATCTAGTGGGGAGATTTGGTTAAGGAAGTAATTACTTGAAAGTGTGTGTGAGTGTAAATAAAGAATACAAATGATAACAGACATTTAAAGAGAGTATTTTATGTAGTCTAGCATACAAGGAGATGACCTGGAGTTACTCAGAGGAGGAGAGAAGTGTATAGTTAAGGGATCACGTGTACAGAGGCTTGGAATGAAGAGAAAACCTGAAGGATTTGGGGAACTGAAAGAAGTTAATTTTGACTGTGTGATGAAGGGTGTGTGTGGCATGTAATGAAACTTGCAAGGTGCATCATATAATGACAGCTTAACACATTTTGACTGCTCACGAGTTAATTCGTGTTTTCCTGCCCAAACGTTACGGATCATGCATGAGTTGACTTGGGTTTGCACTTGCATTAGCTACTTCAGTTTTTGAAACTCAGGGTAATATAGGATTATTGTATTTGTGACTCTTCGCCCTGAGGGTCGAAGTTTGAAAAACAGCACACCGTTCTATATTCTTGAAGTAGCTACGGAATGGATATCTGCTGGTTCAAATGAGTGCGGCTCAGAACCTAATGTGCAGTTTGCCCAAAAACGTGCGGTCCCTGGTGTATGTCTTAGAGATTTCTGTGTGGTACGCAATGTGTTAAAGCCAAAAAAAACTTGAGCCCTGGCCAGTTTGGCTCAGTGGTTGGAGTGTCGGTCTGTGGACCAGAGTCCCGGGTTCAGTTCCCGCTAGGGGCACGTACCAGAAAAAAAACAAAAAACAAAACTTGAAGACCAGGCCATGTACTGACTGTCTGAAATAGAGTCTTTCAGATTTTTTGTTGTTTACTACCTACCTTAAGCTGATTGATTTCTTATTAAGTAGGCAGTTGTGTTAATTTTTTGGTTTACTAAATTTCAGAATGTGTGAAATGGATTTTAAGAGAACAGCTAGCTTATTCCCTGTGCAGAGAGGAGAACTCTTTGATCACCTTTGCAGAACTTCCAAAAAAGGAGAGAGTGACACCTTTGATCTCAGATGTCCATGGGTCTCCCTTCTCCTTCCCTTTTCCTGTGATATGGTTGGACTAAATCTGCTTGAGGCAGAACAGCAAAGCACACTGCATGACATGTTTTAAACTTTCACTTTGCCCTGAAGAAAGTTTATGAAATTGTAAATGCCTTAGGATCTGTTCATTGTATTGTGATTCTAGAACAAATCCAAAATGCTGATTGCTTGTTTATACAAATTTATACATGTTTATACAAAACTTGAATCTCAACCCTGTTCCTTCACTTGTACTTTTAGGTACTATAGTAGCATAATAGTAGCTAACATCTTGGCATCTCCTCAGCACTGAAGCCTTTGTCTCTGAAATTAGAATTGGGATGAAAGTGTACATATAGGCTATTATATTTCTAGAATTGGTGTCTAAACAGAGGTCAGCAAACCTGGTAGGGCCCTTGAGTTTTCATGTTACTATTTTGTAGCACAGACAAGGGAAGATGAGAAGAGGAGAAAAAAGGAGAGTTAGTGGAAGAGGGCAGGAATGGTGGGGGGAGAAGAAAGAACGGTAGTAGAGAGGACGATACATGAAGTATTTATAAGGTTTCTTCGGAAAAATCAGCATAGCAAATATTTCTCATGAGATAAAATATTAGTTACATAGATAATTTTGTAATGATTTAAGGATAAGGAGATGTAGCTCTGATGGCCTCTGTACCAGTTATCTTATTGTTGTTGGACTGGAAGGAGGAGTAATATATGAAGACAGAACAGACTCAATACAATGAAAGATGTTGTTTATTGATGCTGTTATTTCACAACAGTAATGTAAAATGCTAATGATTTTATTAACCATATGCCATTATTTTCTTGTTCAATTCTTTGTTCTTTTCCCCAAACAGAATATCATGGAAAACACAGGCAGTCCAAGGCCTTACCAGATTTCTTTGGCATATTTCTTTTATGCTGAAGTCATGGTCATTGTGGAAAAGATCAAGACCTCTGCCCCAATTTAGTTTTCTGTTGAATTGTCTTTTGTATAACTGACATATCCCTAGAGGCAAAACATGCATAGGGCATTGTCCATAAAAAAGCAAGCTTGGGTATATTGGAGGGGTTGGGGGTTGAGGCAGGGAAGAGAGGGGAGGGGAGAAGGAGCGGGGAGGGGGAATCTTTTGAGTCTAAGTACACATAGTAACAGTAATGGATGTCACAAATAGAGTTGAAATCAGACACAAAAGAGTATACCATATTATTCAATTTATCTAAAGTTCAAAGCAGGCAAACTAATCTTGGATATTAGAATTCAAGATAGTTGTTACCCTGATTTGGAGTGGTGATTGAAAGGGGCACAATAAGCTTGAGATTCATGTTGTCTGCTGAGTGCTATTTACTTAACTGTATTCACCTTGTGCATACTTTTCTGAAGATAGGTTTTATGTGACAGTGTTTACATAAGAAAAGCTTGTGGGCAGAGCTGAGATTACCGGAGATGTGTCTATGAAGTGGGAAGAGAAGAGTGACAGAACCCTGGGGGATACAGAAAGCACAGACACACACATTCCTATTTCTTTTCCCATTTTCCTCAGGACCCCTTTCCAGCATTTTTTATGAAAACATTACATAAAGTAAGGGTAATGCCAAGAATCAAATTTCTGTTAGAGAATGGGATTGTTCCTGTAACATTTTTACACTGAGACTGTTTCTGAGTGGACATTTGGACAGAATTTCTTTTTAATTTGGAAAAGTTAAAGAGTTGGAAAAAAAATCACTGTCATGAGAAAGACCACCTGGAGTCAGAAGATGGTGCTAAATACAGAGCAGCAACGTCCTTCTAACCATTCTAGTGTATTAGATCCTAGTAAATGCACTGTAACTATGTCATATCTCAGTGATTTACTGAAATGATGTACTTTGTGAATTATTTGGTTTGAGAAAGGGGGAAAAGGAAAAGAATTCCATACCGTCCATCTTTTCAAAGAAGGCTTTTAGAAGTGGTTAAGTTTTCCCAATTAAACAGAAAGGTCTATTAACAAAAAATTATACAAAAGTATCTGTTCATTTGGACTACTGCATGCTTATTTCTCTTTTCCAGAAATGGCAAGTCTTTTGAAGACATCATCTATGTCTGTAAGGACAAAATTGATACATCAAACAGGATTGTCCCTTTATAATACATCTCATGGCTTCCATGAGGAAGAATTAAAGACGAAACTTCAGGAATTTCCTGGTGGATCCATTGACCTTCAGAAGAAAGAAAATGGCATTGGCATACTTACACTGAACAATCCGAGTAAAAGGAATGCCTTCTCGGGTATAGAGAGCTTTCTTTGGCTTGTTGAAGACTGACACTAAATCTAACCTGCTATTACATGACTCTTATCCTTACTCTGGTGACATAATTCTTGAAAGTCATGGTACTCTTTGTAGAACATGAAAACAAAACAGAATTATCATGTGAATCGTGAACATTTTTACTAATGACTTTTCTTTCCACTTAGCAGAATTCAGAGATGTGTCTCGCTATTAGTGTTAACCAATAGAAATACAAAGCAAGAATGCAAGACACAAACGTGAGCCACAGATGTAATTTAACATTTTGTAGTAACCATATTTTAGAAAGTAAAAAGAAACAGGTAAAGTTAACTTTAATATTATAATTTAAAGTATTCAAAATATTTCAACATGTGACTAAAATAAAAGAGAGATATTTTCCTTTTTTAAAATACTGAGTTTTTGGAATCCAGTGTGTATTTTACACTTAACTGCACATCTCAGTTTGGACTAGCTGCATTTCATATGCTCAGTAGTAGCTACATGTGGTGGTGGCTATTTTAGTGTAGCTTCATATCTTCAATGGGTTCAGGGAATAAAAGCCTAGGAAATTAATATTAGCCTAGGAAAAATAAAATCAGGAAGGTAAGACTGCTGTAAAGAATTAGATTAGGGTAATAGTCTTAATTTACCACACAATAGCTACAAATATATTAGTAAAATTTTTATTCAAATGGAAACGTTAATTTGATGCCTAATATTTAAAATTAATACAAAAAGAGCTACATTAATGGGGCTAATGGTGTTTTGGGGATAGAGGGCAGATTGGAAGATGATAAAGAGCTCCATACCACACAACCCCCAAGGCCCTTGTTTGGGAAAGTTACCCAACCAGATACTCTTTAAGCTTCCTTCCAATTATTACCATGTATTTTACAAAGTCAAAAAAATGAGTTCGAGATTAACTGCTGGTATAGATTTCTCATACTCAAGGCCAGCATTGTTATTTTTTAAGCTTAAATATTAGGAATGATTGAAAGTTCGTATTTACCTATATAGATTTATTCTCACTTTAAATGTGTTTTTTTCTGTTAAAAAGCAAAACAACTATTAGACTGTAAATCTCTTGAGAGCAAGAACTATATTTTTAAAGCACCTAGGGCATCCTTGGGAAAGTCTGTTGTTTCAAGTAGGTCATAATTAGCAATTAGAAAGGATATCCCCATTAGTCATTTGTGAATCAATGACATTAGTTTAACATTCATTATGGGAACATTTCACTCCTGGTTACTTTGAAAAATGGCAAAGAAAATAATACTTCTTGACATAATGGGGTTTAATTCCAAAGAAGTGAACATAGTTTAATGGGCTGTATATAGTAAATTTTGAAACTTCATGGTACAGCTTTTGCCAATTTTAACCTTCTGTTATGATCTTTACATTGGCTTCTGAAGCATCTTATTAAGCAGAGTAAAAAGTAATCATTCTGAGAGCATTTTGAACTTTATGAACTTGACAGATTATCACAGATGAGCATATCTGAAGGAATGACAGTCTCTGCTGTTTCCATTTTAAATTTGTCCATTACAGTATAAAGAAGCTCCAACAGAATTTTGGAATGATATGAAGCTAACAACCTAACCTATAAATCATAGAATTGATGGTTGGTAGGCATTTTATTAGCATTCTATGAAACACTTCCATTATATGCCTTGGGCTTCTCAGCAGTTTGTCAACCATGGAATAAGATGATATATACTACCCTTCCCCAAACTGACATCTAGTTTTGATGTGAGTAGGATAGGAATGTCAGCTTTGTTTTGTATACCATATGCCCAGTATAACATAAGATCTCATTGTCCTCTTGTAGGCAATAGTATATTTGCGTTAGGAATATAGACATACCTCTTGTTATGAGCTTGTTGACTATGACACTTAATGTGTACTGTTGTGAAGTCAGGCCAATATTTCATTTTTATCCAAAGGAACAATATTTCCTTAAAACCATATTCCAGAGTATTGATTCTAATGCCCCTATATAGGACATGTATGATAAATTTTCTCATTTTTGTATATAAGCATATATTTGTGTGATTTCTTAAGATACATAGGGTAAATAAGTAACTATGTTTTAAAACCATTGTTTTTGGTTGCTTTCTCATGTCAAAAAATTTAAATAGAAAAGCACGCATGACATTTCTTATTTTAAGTATATACATGTATATATATGTGTATATATGCGTGTGTATATATATATATATATATATATATATATATATAGAGAGAGAGAGAGAGAGAGAGAGAGAGAGAGAATCCTAATTATCTTCCATTATCAGCCCTCCAAGGAATATTTTTCTTGAATTCAGGCTTGTACACATACCCCCTTGGCCAAAAACAAAACAAAATGAGAGAGAGAGAGAGAGAGAGATCACTAACAAATTGTAAACTTTTAAAGCAGGGACTTTTATGTATATATTTCATACTATCAACACAATAGGTATTTGACATTAAGTAAATATTTGTATAATATATGGCCTAGGAGTCTTGCTTGATACTTTATGGTTTCTAAATTATTACTATTTTCCAAGTATCTTAGGTGTTTGTGATTGTGACCCCCCCCCCCCCCCCCCCCGGCAGGTGTTATGATGCTACAACTTTTGGAAAAAGTGACTGAATTGGAAAATTGGACAGAGGGGAAAGGTCTCATTGTTCATGGAGCAAAAAATACTTTCTGCTCAGGATCTGATCTGAATGCTGTGAAAGCACTAGCAACTCCAGAGGCAAGTATCTATGAATTATATTCTAGGTTCTACATGTTAATCAGACAGCTATGGCTGAGATATTTATATTTTACTGACATGATTATTATGATGAAGGCTACTCTTTAATAGCTCTCCAAGAATCAGAGTTTTTGTTTTGCTTCTTAAAGATTAGGTTGCAATACTATGAAGTACTGGAGGAAAAAAAAATTAAAAAACGAATGATAGGAAGATTAGCAGTAACCAAAGTACATTATTAAATCCAGCAAGAATTTGAATTTTTTTAAGTTGAAGCCCCTTAGCATCTCTTGATAAGGAATTTTATATGAGGTATAATAAAAGTATCTCATGTAGCTTTGGTACCTAGTATGTGTCAACAAATAATCATTTAAAATTTTGCTTTGAATTATTACATCAATAGAAAAAGAATCCTAATTATCTTCCATTATCAGCCCTTCGAGGAATCTTTTTCTTGAATTCAGGCTTCTACACATACCCCCTTGGCCAAAAACAAAACAAAAAACAAAATGGGTGTGTGTGTGTGTGTGTGTGTGTGTGTGTGTGTGAGAGAGAGAGAGAGAGAGAGAGAGAGAGAGAGAGAGAGAGAGAGAGAAGGAGAATGAAAAGAAAAAGGGAAAAAATGTGTTTGTTGGTTGCCATTTCATTATCGGTGTGGGCTGTGTTTAGGTAACACTATGTCACCGGCACTGCACCACTCTCATATATCATCTCTGTTGGCATAAATATGTGAGAAAACAGTTCTTGGTAATTTTGATCGAATTGGAATTGAATGCTGGTTTCAACATTTTCTGACTGTTACTGGCAATCACTTTCTAAGTCTTATTTTCTTAATCTATAAATGAGAATTATGTATTTCACAGAACTATTATGAGAATTCAAGATAATTTAAGTGCCTATTAGCAGTGTATGTAAAGTGTAGCTATTATTTTAAAGGTCTTGATATAAATTAATATTACCCATGAAATGATTCCTAATTTGTAGCACCACTAGACTTAAATTTGTAATGCGTCCAAATGGTTAGAGCACTAAGTTGGATAATTGAATGTATGGATTCTTTTTTTTAATGTTTACATTGATTTTTTTAGAGAGAGAGAAAGGAGAGAGAGAGAAAAACATTGATTGGCTGCCTCCTGTACAACCCATACTGGGGATCCAGCCCACAACCTTGTTATGTGCCCTGCTCAGGAATCATACCAGGACCTCTCAGTCTATGGTACGACGCTCAATCCACACTTGAATGTATGGACTCTTGCCTGAGCTCTATTAATAATTAAATGTGACCTGCAAGTCATTTTATTATAATTTTTCATCTCTAGAATAATTGTACTCCTACGCACCTTACTTTGTTCACAAAAGACACTATAAAGGTTGAATGAGGTAATAGATTATTGGGGGTCTGATACAAGTCAGGTAGGTAAACATCCCTAAAATGGTGAGAGGCTGTTTCCATCTCTTTGGATCATATGGCCAGAATTTTTCTTCCTATGTATGTAAAAGTTAAAAGTGGAAACATGCTAATTGTTTTATGTGTGTGTGTGTGTGTGTGTGTGTGTGTGTGTATTGGGTCTGATGTAAGTTGTATAGGAAAACAATGTAGTTTTTATACAGACTTAAGATAAGGGATCACTTCAAAAACTTCATTCTTTCTAGTATGGACATTCTCCAAGTTATCTGCTCTCTTGAATGCCTGCAGTAGAGTAAGTTTGACTTTTGGTCAGCAGCTGAGAGTTAAGGTGGTGTGGCTCCAATACTAAAATAGCACTGGGGGTGTTCATCACTTGTAGTTATGCATATCTGCCACTCTCATTGAGAAAATCTGGAGTTGTGATGTTACTTTATAACGTGTATGCTTAGAATCCAGATCAGTACTTAAAATACCTTATTTTATTTAAAATATTTTCCTGGGTAGATGGAGTGATCCTTTCTTGTACTTTTATGAAATGTGCCTATTAATAGGAAATATGTAGCATAGAAATAAGCAATTTGAGTAAAATTCTCTTATGGATAATATTAAGAAATACAATAATATGTATAAAGTATGGGGTATATTGGTCACATGATTTTAAAATTAACAGGCACTAGAAACAGTGTATATAAAGTTCCTGATAAATATTTCTATTTATGTCTGAGAAATAATTGCAAATATGTGTGAAACTGAAATTTAAATAGCATGGGGACTTTTGAGGCTCATACATGTGTATAGTTGAAGCTGCACATAAATAAAATGCATCTGCCCCTCACAGCCAAGATATTCTGAGACTCTTAACATGGCTACACTATTAACAGCCTTTCTCTCAATGAGGCTTTTCTTTATCTAATACAGTTACTCTTTGTTGTTGGAGATATATCACTAGCATCGGCTTATTCGATGAATTTGCTTTTTGAGTATGGTGATTTTCACAATTGGATTACTTTCATTTCTAATTATAATAAAATACTTGAAAGTGATTATTGAGTGGAATTAAATTTTTTTCCTTTATTGATTTTACAGAGAGAGGAAGTGAGAGGGAGAGAGAGATAGAAACATCGATTTTTTGCTCAGATAGAGTGGGAGGGGGAGAGAGAGAAACATCGACGTGAAAGGGACACGTCGAGTGGCTGCCACCCGCACGACCAACCAGGGCCGGGGACAAACTGCAGCCGAGGTACATGCCCCTAGCGGGAACTGAACCCGGGTCTCTCTGGACCGCAGGCCAACGCTCTAACCGCTGAGCCAAACCGGCTAGGGCAAGTGGATTTTTTAAAAAAGATGATTATGTTGATGTTTTTGCCACTGGGTTTTTTTTTCAGTTTTAAAAAATATATATTTTATTAATGAAAATTAACAAATATAAACAAAAGTAGAGAGATTAATACAGTGAATCTCTCATGTACTCATTATACCATCAGCAACCATCAACATTTTATTATATTTATTTATGTTACACTTTTTTAATGTAGCTGGTCTCTTAAGAAATTGGTTTCATTTTGGTGTCCTTTGTTTAATGAGTAGGAAAAGAATTTCAGCTGTCCCTATTAGGCAATTAATCCTTGGTTGAGAAGGTCCAAGCAGAGAGAGGGATTAGCATAGCATGATTATTAACTTTGAAAAGTTGTGGGACAGAGAAAAGAATAAAATAGGAAAAAAATCTAATGTAAGTATTAACCCAATTATACAATTTGGATTTGATGTGACAGATGTTTTGTAGACCACGATGTCTTTTTTTTTCAGAAGGCAAAAATACTCAGTGTCCAGTTATAAGCTTCAAGATATGGGAAAATAAAAACCTGCTTACTTTGCATTGCATGGGTATAATGCCTCCAGGAAAAGTGTGACATTTTAGAAATCTTCATAAACTTAATCTAGCTTGAAAATACTATCCTCCTTTGTCCCCTGGCCTAACTTCTTACTTTTCTACCAGTTTGTTTGCTCCTTATTTCTCATTGCTTAAATTTCTACAGTGACCTCAGGGTTCTTGTCTGACTTCTTGTTTTCCTACTACTATTGAACAGTCCCATTTTAGACTTCTTAGTTTATATATATATATATACTATTATAATTTTTTTATAAGCCCTTTCAAAGTATTTTGAGGAAATAAATAAGTACATATAACAAGCACTTGGGGGAGATGGGGAAGAGGCTCATTTATGGTTCTAGGATAAGCTACTCTTACAAGTTGGGCATTTTCCCACTTAGGATAAATGTGGCTTAGAGGAAATAAGATGGTAATAGTTCCTTTGGCTCTTAGGCTGAGTGTTGTGCTTCCATTTCTGTTATACTAGGAAAATCTGAAAAAGTAGGGTTGGGTCTCAGGGTATCACCAGAAAGGATGAAAATATCACTACCTGCAGCTGCTGTACTAACCATTTTTTAGTATTTCCCAGCTTCCTGGTTTCATTTGTCAGAGCTGGTCTAGCTTTTCATTGGTTCCTTTCTTTTATTCTATCAAAAGTAGGGATTTGTCTCTCATTGACTTATTTTCTTCCTGCGGTCTAGGAAGAGGCCTTAGCCTTTAACCATTGTTTGTTCAATGGCTTTGGGGAACACATTTAATCAATTAACTCTTTCTTCTTCCTAGGTCATATTGGCTAGTATCTCTACTTTAGGGTGCATTTAAAGGCAAAGCATACTCATTATCTGATTGCTAGTGCTATTACTGATAGTAATAATAGATAACATTTTTTTTTTCTATTACTATACATCAGGCACTATTCCAAGTGCTTTTTTGTGTCATAACTCATTTAAATCATTACTATTGAGATAGGTACTACTATTAGCATCCCTTTACAGGTGAGCAGACAGAGGCATAGAGAAGTTAAGTATCTTGCCAAAAGTCATAATAGCTAGTAAGTAGTAGAGCCCAGATTCAAATGTAGGCAGTTTGGAGTCTGTGGCGTTAACCATGATTTCATACTGCTTTTAAAGACTTTTTTTTTATCCTCACTCGTGGACATTTTTTTTTTTTTTTTTTGCATTTATCTTCAGATAGAGCAGGAAGGAGAGAGGGGGGAAGAGAGAGAGAGAAATATCGACGTTAGACACATCGAGTGGTTGCCATCCACATGACCCTAACTGGGGCTGGGGACAAACTGCAACCGAGGTACGTGCCCTCAGCGGGAACTGAACTCAGGACTCTCTGGTCCACAGGCCGACACGCCAACCACTGAGCAAAACTGTTTAGGGCTGCTTTTAAAGATCTTTACTGTGACTTTTACTTTTGAATGAGAATTACAACAGTGCACAGGCTATTACATGCTTCACTTTCATTTCTACCGATTCTAGATACTTCCATCAGAATTTTAAGTACTCTACATCTAGTAATGGAAAATAGGTCTATTAAAATTACTTTGAGATAATTGAACAGGCTCTATTGGACAAGTTTTTAATACAATATAAATCAGTCCAGTTTTAAACCTCTAGCTCTTTGTGTTTGTATTAATTTTCTCATCACTTTATAATATAGACTGACCTTCCTGGAAAAGGATTTCAACTAGGAAATTTGTACCATGTTGGTTTTTACCATCCGTTGGCTGCATTTGTCTTATAAATCAACATAGTTATCCATCTAAAATAAATCTGATTCAGTGAACTTCAACAGGCACATATTACTGTATAGCAAAACATTGTCCCAGTCACTGAGGATGAAGAAGGCATTTTGTCAACCTAGAGGAACTTACTGTCTAGGCCTATCAAATGTGATCCCCCCCGCCCCCTTCTCCTTTATGAAACCTCCCCAATTATCCTAACCCAATTGAACAATTATTTCTTATATAGTAATATGCTCGGTTTGTTCAAGCACTTGTATACTATACCTTAATATGTTGCATTTCTTTATCTCATATTATATTTATTAAACTTATTATATTCCCTAATCCTTATCTTATATAGATAATGTGTCTAATGAATCCAAACATAGTGTATATAAGACAACCTATAAGTACTATAGTTATCGCAGAAACAAAGGAGAAAACTATTACTGTAGGATTTAGAAAATCTTGATGGAAAAATATTTGATCTGGGACTCCCTAAAACACCTAGAGGACAAGGACAGACTATTCCTTTGGAACAGTGGGAATGGTATGAACAAAGACACAGGAACAAGTGTAACTTATTAAAGGAATGGCAAGTAGTTTGTTGTGGCTGACGTTAGGATACTTGGATGAGCAGTATGTAGTCAATAAAGTTGATAAAATAGTTTGGGATCAGTCCTTCCCAAGGAATTTAGATTTTATTCTATTGGTGATATGAAATAAATCTTATTATAGGAAGGTTTATCAGGTAGTAGGATGCATATATATTACAGAGGAAAAATAAATACAGAGAAACCATTTAGGAAGCAAGGCTGTTGTAATAATCTGAGTACAAATAACACAAATCTGACCTAGTAGAACGACAGTGAAAAAAGGAAGAGATTATATTGGAAATATTTCAAAGGAAGAATTTGGGGGACATGCTTGGTAACTAATTGAGTATGGGAGAACTGAAATGGAAGAGTCAAAGAATACCGAAATTATGGCGCTTCCGCCAGGAAGACCTTTTCCTGTTAACTCAGAACTTGCTTACATTCATGTGATCTTTTACAAATTGTCTAGTTACAGTTTCATCTTTCCAACTGTCCTTTAAGTTGGGTAGAACAGGTATTTTTTTTTTTTAGGTTTTTATTCCTTCTGTATGGATGAGGAAACTGAAGTTTATAGTTATGACTTGTTCAAGTTCGTGTTACTAAGTGGTAATGCTAGGATTTAAACTTAGGTTTTTCACTCTTGATTGGTTTTGACATGCTGAATATGAAGGAACGTGAAATTTCTAGTGGGTTTTGGGACTCTACATGAAAACAATATTTGAAACAATGGGAATGGACCAGATTTCTCAAGAGGAAATTATAGAAAAAGAAGGGAAAGAGAATCATTTGTTGGATTTTTGGGATACATGGATGTAGAGGATTTAGCTGAATAAGAAGAGACAAAAAGAAAATGGGAAAAGAGCAATAAAAGAAATCAGAGAATGAGGAGTGGACAGTGTTACTAGAAATTGAGAGAATATCAAAATAAAGAAACTGGTCAAAGCACAATACCATTTTGTTATGGAGAGAGAGGAAGATGAGAATAAGGCAAAACTATTTAATTTAACAAATAGGAGATTATGCCTTGGCCGGTTTGACTCAGCACTTAGAGTCTCAGATCGCAGACCAGAAGGTCTGAGGTTCAATTCTGGTCAGGGGCACATAACTGGGTTGCAGGTTCAATGCACAGCCCCCACTGAGGTCGTGTGGGAGGCAACCAATCAGTGCATCTCTCTCACATCGCTGTTTCTCTCCCTCCCTTCCTTCCTCCCACTCTCACTAAAAAAATCAATGGAAAAATATCCTTGGGTAAAGATTAACAAAAAACAAACAAAATAAAAACAAATAGGAGATTATTAGAAACCTTTGAGGGGAGTCTTGAGAAAAGGTCAAAGATCAGATTATACTAGCCTGAAGAAAGTATAAGAGGACAAAAAAAAAAAAAAGAGGTAATGAGTTTAGACTACTATTAAGAAATTGTTTTTTAGCCCAGCCAGTGTGGCTCAGTGGATAAGCATTGTCCCATGCACTGAAAGGTCCCGGTTTGATTTTCAGTTAGGGCACATGCCCAGGTTGCTGGCTCCATCCCCAGTAGGGGGCATGCAGGAGGCAACCAATCAGTGTTTCTCACATAGATGTTTCTCTCTCTCTCTCTCTCTCTCTCAAAAAAATCAATAAAAACATATTTTTAAAAAAGAGAACTTGTTTTTTATATGTTTATATTCTTAGAGGACCAGAGTTTGGGAATATAGGTGGGTATATCTTATGTCTCTAACCTCCATATTACCCTGAGTAGAATTCTGGGGTATGTAATCCAACTCTCACGTCTCAGATTTTGCATTTCAGACAGCATCAAAAGGTTCTAAATGAAATCCTCATTAAAAAAAAAAAATTAGGTGTGTTTTGAGGCTTTATTACTTTCTAAATCCTGAAAATGGTTTTTTAAATGTCTTATACATTTGTATTATATCTTTTAAATATTTCTTATACATTTGCATTATATATTCGTGTTTATTTTTATTTAAAGTATGGAGTGGCCTTATGTATGTTCATGCAAAACACCTTAACAAGATTGATGAGGTAATGTATTTTTCTTTTTAAAATGATTTTTGAAAAAACAAAAATAGTTCATTATTCCATGTAGTACTACATCAATAAAAAGTAACAGCTGATTTTCAAATTGTATTTATTCTAATGGTGAACTATTTGTGCCATCTAGGATAGTCATTTAATTAAATCTTAGTTAAATATATAAAAGTATTTAAAAAATAGGAGACACGAGACAAAAGGAATTTAAGGTATAGCAGTTTTCCCTAAAGAGCTTATATTACTAGCTATATGTATTGAGGTATAGACATGGGAAAGTTAAATACTGATATTAGAGCAGAATAAAGACACTATCAAGAGATGACAGCCCTGGCCGGTTTGGCTCAGCGGTTAGAGCGCCCGCCTGTGGTCCGGAGAGACCCGGGTTCGGTTCCCGCTAAGGGCACGTACCTCGGTTGCAGTTTGTCCCCGGCCCTGGTTGGTCGTGCGGGTGGCAGCCACTCGATGTGTCCCTTTCACATCGATGTTTCTCACTCTCTCTCTTCCTCTCTCTCCCTCCCACTCTGTCTGTACAAAAAATGGAAAAATGTCCTCGGGTGAGGATAAAAAAAAAAAAAAAAGAGATGACATAAAGATTACCTAATCAAATTAGAAGAGTATATTGTGATGGGCTCTGATCCCTGAGGAGAGAAAAAGAACTATAGTTTTCTGAGGAAGAGGGATTCACTTTGCACCTAGGTGAAGGAGAAAACGGAGATAATTCTTCTTGGCCTATCACTATGCATTTGGGGTTACAAAGAATGACATGTTTGGGCTGATTAGCTTTCGACCTCTATATTTCAACTGCAAATAGCTTAAAAACTATAAAAATTAAGGAAATTCATATTTATTTAATATACTTACGAATTAGACATCACTGTGCTTTTGTTCTTTGTGAGAGTCTAGAAAGAATAATGAAATCATAACATTAATATTCTGAAATACTTCTTTCATTGTATTCATTCCTGTTCACCTCTGTCTCTATATTACATTTGACTTTTCTTAGATACATCTTTTTTTTCAAGTTTTTAAAAAATAATTCTTTTTAATTGGGAGAAGTGTGTTAAGAAATTTTCAGTTACTTAAAAGCTACAGCTATGCATTTCAGTTAGAACCTACAAAAAAAATCCATACTTTCAAAACATTTCAGACTTACCTTGTACTCCTGTCACAGTCTTGCACTACAAGGTGAGTCTTTGCAAACAGGAAAGGTGAAGAGATTTATTTTTACCACAGAACCATTCCTTTGTATAGGAATTGTCTATGGATCATTTCAGTGAGTAGCAACCTTTATAATAACACAGTTATGGACCTCCTTCTTCTGCACCACATTTTCTCCCTTTGAATATAGAGCCTTAACTTCTTCTATAACCTGATATCAATAAAAATGAACTAAGATAATATCACATTGAATTATTCCTGATTGCCAGTAAGTAGTTGAGAAGTGCCAGGAGCTTATATTATCCAAAAACATCCATTTATTTGGAATAAAGTTACAATCTGTCTATAGTTTTAAAATGATTCAGAGAGGTATTCTGATAAACTTATATGGCATTTAGGATGAATTAGTATATTTTTGGTATTACACTGTCTTGCTCTTTATGATGCATGTGCTATCCTTTGAGGTGTGTTTGTTATTATAAACATGATTCAGTAATCTACTTTCTGTTGCATCTTAAGTTTTTAAATAATATTTGTAGCTTAATATTGAAATTTAAAACGTTAACATCCATTTTCTTTTTCCTTCAATATACAGACTTCCTTTAATAAGTGTCGCACTGGTTCAAGGTTGGGCGTTGGGTGGAGGAGCAGAATTTATTACAGCATGTGATTTCAGGTAGGATGAAAATTGCATTCCTCCTTGCACAGATATAATTACCATATGCTCAAATTTATTTTTGCCTGAATATAAATATTTTATATAATCTTAAACAGGAAAATCAATTAGTGAATACTTTTTATGTTAATCATTAAAGTAGATAATTTTAGCCAATTTAGCATAATGACTCTACCGTTACTTTATTGCCATGCATTAAAAAGGCTAACAAAACAAAAGAACTTTAAATTAATCAAATCCATTTTAGCAAAATTCCTGGGGAGGAAAGCCAAGGAAATGTATGAAACTTTAAGATTCAAAAGAACAATACAAAGAAAAATACAGAACACACACACACACACACACACAAAAGAATAGAAAGAGAATACTGTAATTGTCCTCTTAACCAATAAAAATAAGTTTTCTTAACTGTACTGTGATTTATAGTAACTAGTCTGATTAGGAAATAAACTTATTTGGGACAGTAACCCTTCAATCCCTAGAATTCTTTTTAGTATTAAATAGTTATGCTTTATAGGAATGGGATCTTGTAGAACCTAATGCTTTCCATGGGCCCGAAACTGTATTCTCAGTTACCATTCCTAAGACCTACTAGCTTAACTATAAGGAGAATCAGGACACTGTTTTTGACCTATACAGATTTACACACTTGAGCTTCTTTAGAGTGTGAAAGGTGGTATATATAGCAGAATTGGAAGGAAAATGGAAAGAATAGTAAAGAGCTCGAGCACTGGAGATAGACTTAGTTCAATCCCAGTTTGTCACTTTTATTTATTTGACTTTAAGCATCCATACAGTAACAATGAGTGTACCCACATTTGATTACTTTCTCATTTCCCATCTTCCAAGGTGTCACAGGAAATTTTTAAACATTGCCAATAATAATTACACTACAAACATTCAGAATATACTTATAATTTTTTTACTTGTCAAAATAAGGGAATTTAATAGGATTTTATACATTGAGTCAGCTGTAAGTCTTCAAAATTTTAAGATTTAGGTTTTCCAGTTTTCTCTGTAGATTATTCTTTGCAGTAAATTACATTACAGGTGGTAGCAGGTAATCCTGTAAGGTCTGTCAGGAAGCAGTTTCTATCTTTGGATCTAATCGATTGGACATTTTCTTCATAAACTGGTTATATTAATTTTTAGATTACTAAGGAGTCTTGTGAAAGGTTACATATTTCTCTCATTATTAGGGTAAACTACCTATGTTCTTTTGTCACTAATGCATTTTTGGTCATATTAACTAATGCATATTAAGTGTATATCAGTACATAAACACACCCTAGCATGTGATATATAATGAATGGAGGTCAGAGTTTAATCACAACAGGTATTTTTACAAAGATTACTTCAGGATTTGTGAGAGTCGTAAAATATAATTCAGAAAAGCATACCTCTGCTTGTAAAGTGTGGCAAAGAAAAAAAACACATAATATAAAGGTAATGAAAGTCATTAGAAGCAAAGAATTCCACGTATAACTGTGCTTACATAGATAACTTTTGTTGTCATAAGCTCATCTCCATTATCCTGGCATCTAGAGCTTTAACTTTTATGTTCAGCTGATTCTAAATGAATTTATTCCTGACATAATCCTTTTTTGTATTGTAGGAATAGCTCTGAGCCAACATTTGTTTCAATTCCAGGATGTAATTTTGAACTGTGATATATTAAGTTTAGTTTGTGAACAGCTATTTTATAGGATTATGTTCAGTGCTAACAATATTCCTCTCTCTAACACTACTTGGCATTATTTCTGTGATTTCTATTCTGCTTTATTTTTGACATCACTTTTTATTTATTTTAACAAGGCAGTACCACTCTCAAATTTGGGGCTAGATTCAGATTCTTAGATTTATGCTTTCTTCCTTCCAATTTAAAAATTCTGTATTGAAAACTATTTTCATGGCTGTTTGCCTGTAAAAGAAATGTCTCATAACTGAGGAAGATTTACCCTTGTAGGAATTCACAGCTGTGAAGAGAAAGTTCTCTTTCCTCGTGGTTTAACAAATAGGCTTTCGCGAGAATTCTCTCCTGGAATATTTCTCCTGAGTAAAGGGTCAGAGACTAAGAGTGGGTTGTTCTTGGTGCTAATAGAACCAAACCACCTGCAGCTGAGCATTGGACACTTTGGAAAGCTAAACCAACTTGTGGTCTTTCTTGGTAATGAGTAGTTGAAAGCAGTAATTTAAAAAAATAAAAATAAAATTCAGACATGACCTTTGGTCCAAATTAAGATTTTAGTATAGTGAAAACTTCTCATTGAAGCATCCAGTCAAAACAAAACTCTAGGCAGCCTTCCCTAAACAGTATTACTTTATTTCATCTATTAATAGTGCACAAATATTTAACTGGCAAATGTGAAGCCTTTTGCTATACTCACTAATTTCTTTGTGTTAGTTCCCCTTTATGGTTCCACTTTGCTTATTAATCACCCTATTCATAAAAATCCCAGGATCTGGGGAAAATGAATTCCTGCTATGGGAAATCACTGCTCAGTCTCACCCAAGCTGCTGTCAGCTTTCTTCATGGTATCCCTGCCTCCATTCCAGTCTAGCTGACTATTGTGTGAGGTAAGAGCACACACATGAAGTTAACCTACCTGGGTTTCAGTTCTGGCTGTTACAGCTGCACATGAGACCTTGAGTGTGGTATTTACTTAGTTACCTCAGTTTCCCTGTGTAAAATAAAGGTATTACTGTACCTCATATGGTTGTACTGAGGATTAGTTGACATAAAGTTCCATAGACAAATGGTGTGTTATTGAAGACTAAATAAAGTCTTAATAAAGCAACCAGGGTAACCCATATGTCAGTCAGATACTATTCTCTTGGGTAACTTATAAATAGCTTCACACTTAAAAATAAAAATCTGAATGCCCGTCTAAGGCCTGTAAGCCTACCGATCTGATTTACACTCCCGTTACTCTGCTTACTCCATCCCAGCTACAGTAGCCTGCTCCCAGAGATACTAAGAAGTTCATTAAGTCTGCACTTGCAATCCCTCCTCCTGGAACACTTGCCCCCCAGATTTCTTCATCGCTTACTCATTAGGGTAGCTGTTCAAATATCCAGAGGCCTTTTCCATCTAAAATAGTGTACCCCCAACACACATATCCTCATTCTCCAGTCTCTTGTCCCATTTTTTCTTTATTTCTTTTTTTTTACTTTTGAGGAAGAGAAACTGATCAGTTGGCTCCCACATGCACCCCAATCAGGAATCAAATCCATAACCTGGGTTGTGCCCTGACTGGGAATCGAACCGGTCACCTTTTAGTGTACAGGAAGACGCTCTAACAGAGCCACACCGGCCAGGACCCATTTAATTTTTCTTCATAGCACTTCCCATCACTGACATTGTCATTCAGTGTCTTTCTCGGCCAGGTGTAAACTGGCATTGGCAGTGCTTAGTAAATGTTTACTGGGAGACTGGATAGATGCTGGGTTAAAAAACAATTTTTGTTTCCCTGAGAGCTATTGACCCCAACTATGCAATTTTCCCCCATGGTATGCACCTAGCATTTCCTACTCCCATGTTTTCACTTAACCTAGGTTTTCTCATTAGGCCTCCACTTATTTTAGAGATACGTTTTGGGCTTTTAGAAATAAACCTAAAAATTAGATTCTTATTTGCAAAGTAGAGGATAAGCAAGCATAACAAAAATGTTGACACTGTTTTCAAATGGAAGTGTTAAGTACTGTGTATAAGTTGAATTCTATACTAGCCACATATTTTTAGCATTGTTTTTAATATGACATATTAAGCCCTGGCCAGTTTGGCTCAGCGGTTAGAGCGTCGGCCTGCGGTCCAGAGAGACCCGGGTTTGGTTCCCGCCAAGGGCATGTACCTCGGTTGGTTTGTCCCCGGCCCTGGTTGGGTCGTGCGGATGGCAGCCACTCGATGTGTCCCTTTCACACCGATGTTTCTCTCTCTCTTCCTCTCTCCCTCCCACTCTATCTGAACAAAAAATGGAAAACATGTCCTCGGGTGAGGATAAAAAAAATATGACATATTAAAACATATTTAATATAACATCTATAAAGACCTATGGAGATTTCACATCAGATCATGAATGGGTAGTACTTTATGACTAAAGCATATATTCTTAATTACAATTAAGTTTTTTTCTTTTCTTTTCTCTTTTGCAGATTAATGACCAGAGAGAGTGAGATTCGATTTGTTCACAAGGAGATGGGTATAGTACCAAGCTGGGGCGGTGCTACCCGTCTGGCTGAAATAATCGGCAGTAGACCAGCTCTCAAAGTGTTAAGTGGGGCCCTCAAACTGGATTCAGAACAAGCTTTAAACCTAGGAATGGTTGATGAGGTCTTGCAGTCTTCAGATGGCACTGAATGTCTAGAAGAGGCACAAGAATGGCTAAAGCAGTTTGTCCAAGGGCCACCGGAAGTAATCAGAGCTTTGAAAAAATCTGTGTCTTCAGGCAAAGAGCTTTGTTTCCAGGAGGCATTACAGACCGAAAGAGATCTTGTAGGAACACTCTGGGGTGGACCCGCAAATTTAGAGGCTATTGCTAGGAAAGGAAAATTTCATAAATAGTTTTTAAATATGATGTATTACAACTCCAATGATTAATATATAGAAAAGTTAAATGATGTTAAACATGTCAGAATTACTTTGAAAGGTAGCACTAGTATTTGGGTTTGTTTTTAGTAATTTTTTGAATACCTAAACTCATTGGCATAGTTTTCAGTATACTGTAGCCCCCCCTTACTCTATGACCCCCAGTGGAGGCCTGAAACTGGGGATAGAACTGAACCCTCTGTATACTGTTTTCCCTTACTTACATACCTGTGCTAAAAGTGAATTTATAAATTAGGCACAGTGAGAGATTAACAGTAACTAATAATAATATACTGTAATCAAAGTTATGTGATTGTGGTCTCTTTTAAAAAATATGTTGTTGTACTATACTCACCTTTGCACTTCTGAGATGCATTTTATTGCCCTCTCTTTGTCAGCATCACTATTCTGGAACTTTGGGGCTATTATTAAGTAAAATAGAGAACTGCGATACTCTGCAAGTCTGGTAACTGAGTGGGCTGCTAAGTGATCAAAGGGCGGGTAGAGTGTACTGTGCAGATACAGTGGACAAAGAGATACAAGTCCTGAGCAGCACAGAGCAGGATTATGTGAGATTTCATCAGACTACTAAGAACAGTTTGCAATTTAAAATTTAGTTTATTTCTGGAATTTTCCATTTAATATTTTCAGACTGCAGTTCACTGGGTAACTGAAAACTTCAGAAATGAAAGCACAGTTCGGGGGGGCAACTACTGTATTTGGGTATTTACCAAGTAAATTGGGAACATTTGGCTAAAATATATAATACTTTAGGCTTAAGTTATTAACAATTCCCCAGTTCCCATAATGGTTTCTAGCCTATAACCTAAGACCAGTTTTTAAAAGGAAAAACTACACAAAACCTATTCCTGGTGTTATTTTTCTTAATTCTTTATTGTCTTACGTGGAAATAATTTACAAAAAAAAAATTTATGAAATTTGAAGTTAAAGAACAAAAGTGCAGACAAAAAAAGATATGTTCACTCTTTTCTTCTGCTCTAAGCAGCTGAAGTAAAGAAATCATGGGGAATGGCCCCTTTTTACAATAAAGATGCTCCCCAACCTCACCCACCACCCACTACAAATATGTGCCTTATTTATTTGATCTAATTAGTTTTCTATTTTAAATGATCTACTAAACAATGATAGCCACTATTTGGAGAGTCTACTGAACTGGCCATTCATTTGTGTGCCCTGAATTTATTGTAAAGTTTTTAACTTTACATCAAAACTGCCCAAGACCCTGGCCAGTTTGGCTCAGTGGTTAGAGCGTCGACCTGCGGACCAGAGTCCCAGGTTTGGTTCCTGCTAAGCAGGGCATGTACCTCGCTTGCAGTTTGTCCCCAGCCCCCATTGGGGTCATGTGGGTGGCAACCAATCGGTGTTTCTCTCTCTCTTCACCCCTCCCCCTCCAGTTCTATCTGAAGATAAATGCAAAAATGTCCTCAGGTGAGGGAAAAAACTGCCTTAGGCTTCAATGGGAAGCACTCTGTAACCTACATTTTCATTTGACATCTGATTTGTTTTTTTCCTGAAAAGTAGCTAGCCTTTCTTCTTTTATAACTTTAAAAACTAAATTTAATAAAACTACACAACTCAAACTCATGATTACACTAACGGACTTTAAAAAATATATTAAGTTAAAGAAGTCCCAGTTCTAACATATCACAAGAGGTAAATGATAATTTCAATGTAGTGACAGTTATTTGCCATTTATAAAATTCAATTCACATTTCAAAATATTAAAAATAACTGATATATGCTTCAACATGATCCTACTGTTTTGAGCTAGGAAAATGTAGTAAGACAAACTTACATTACTTTTTTGCAGAACCAAATTCTGAATTACCAAGTTTACAACATTTTGTGTAAAGTGAATTTGTGTCTACTAGTATGTTTATAAGTAAGCCTACAATTTAATTTAATTCAGATAACTGTTAGAGTACTAATGAAAAATGGCAAGAAAAATGTAAAATACATATACTCTCTACTATCAGATACTGAAGAAATTTGTCTCACAGGCTTTAGGTCTATTTCTATACGTATTTATTCCATGCATACTACCTGCAGATTCTGTTTAAATACTCTCTTTGGAAAAAATCAGACTTCTCTGAGCAGGTAACTTATTTAGGCTGAATACCACCAACTGAAACCACCACATTTAGTAATCTTTGGCCACAAGTGTCAAAATGTTTCCATCCCCTTCCCAGACTCAAGCAAGAGACAAATGATTTTTGATAAACTCTAGTATTTATTAAATTATAAATTTTGTAACCAAAAAGAAAACTGCAGATCAAGGAAACAAACTTCAAACTACAAGGACTGAACAGCAGTCTATGGGAACGCCATGAAGTGTGTTACAGACAAGATTATGAAACAAGTTATTAGGTGTTTTCTTTACATTTCCATATCAGTAACTTTACTAGTAAATAGTTTTTGTCTATTTTAAAATCCCAAATTCACATGTATCCTCACATTAATTAAGCTTCCTGTTAAAACTGATACTAAACATCTCATAGGTGCCAAATTTTAGTAATGGTTTTATGTCAATCCATGCAGAAAAGTAAGACAAAATGCAAGAGTCAGATGGGACCATTAATGCACAGATAATACACACACACTGGCCAAAAGAACTGAAGAAAGTTTTAAAACTGTAAAATAAACATCTCAAGAAAACTGGGTTATTACTAAACAGCTCTCAACTATTAACACCCAAGTTCCTTATATTAAATAAATTTCTCAACAGAGACATGTTAGACATTTTAATTACAGGTCTATCCTTCCTATACCCCTTCCCACCCCAACTCCCAAAATGTACTACTAGGGATGAGTATAATGTTATGTGGGCAGAAATTTACAGATAACCATTTTAACCTTGAGCATGGAGCTGAAGACTTTTTTATTTAAACTTCAGTTACTGTGCACTGTCCATCAGGCCTTCTAGATCTGACACTGGCACTCACTGTTCCACCCCCTGCAAGTGATCCATCAGTTCCTGATCGATCTGATTGATCAGATACTGTCTGGTTTACATTAGGAACCAAAAGTCTCTGTTGGATCAAGGAGTGTTGTGCAACAAGTGCTGATACCTCCTCACTATCACTACTGGCATCTGATTCAGTTTCTTCAATGGAGGTGTCTGGTGCTGGTACCCTGCCTGAAGATGGTAATTCACGATCTTCTTCTCCTTCCCCCCTATGACTCCTTTCAGCCAGGCTGTCTCCACTGAGTTGTAAATGAGCGAAAGAGTCTTCCAGAGAAGTGCTTGCATCCGGGGATGGTGTTGTAGGGCTTGTTAACTGACCATCTACTGACGTGAGGGGCCTTACAGATGAAGACACTAGAGGCTGAACAGAAGCGCCACTCTGTGCTGATACACTGTCCGCTCCATCAGCAGAGCTCTCTCTTGCTAGGTTTACGGTATTAGCGTCACAATCCAGCCTAAGTCCGGCTACTCCCTTCTTTGGTATATCTATAATATCCCGCTTAATCTTCCTGCGACGTCCATGTTCATTTCGCCTATATTGAACCATATTTTCAAAATCAGCAACATACAGAAACCCAGCAATTAACATTTCAGTGCTCTTTTTACCTTTGGTAAAAGCATCTTCCAGCTCTCTACTAGTGCGTTCATCATACTGCCACCACCCATTTCTTCCTTCATAATACCATGCATATTCACCATTTCCTCTACTTGCTGCCTTGAGTTCTTCTGGTGACAATAAGGTTGGCTTGTCAAGAAAATCCTCAGGAATTTCTTGTCGACAGAGGGCACATCGCTTTCCAAGCCATGAAGCTCCCTTTACACACAGATAGCAGAAAACATGTTTACAAGGCAGACTGACTGGGTGAACACATGTTTGCAGACAAATGGCACATTCAGGGACAGTTAGAGAAGGTGCAGTATTAGAACAGGACTCGTTCGCTTTCCTGTTTGTAGGAAGCATGTTAATTGAGTGATCAATTTCACCACAGCCAGCCATCCTAAGAAAATAAAAGAAAATATATATATTAAAATATTTTAACTCTGATCTTAATTTAACAATTCAGAAAAAACTTATTAAGCACCTATTATATGCTAGCCATCTACCAGAAAGTAAATGGGGATACAAAAATGAAATATAGGAAGAAACTGTAATTTAAATAGGAAAATCTTTTTCGTTTGTATGTCATTGATTTTTAATTGGGGGGGGCAATACGGCACACAAATGTTAAGCCAAAAAAAAAAAAAAATACAAATAAGGTATATAGATTTTAAATAAATGTACCATTTCTATTCAGCCATAGACCTTGTAATATAGAACTACATGCAAAGATTTAGAAATGTACAGTCCATGCTAGACTGACTGAAAATCTTTCTGGAAAGTAGTTAGAGTAACAGAAAATGGCTAAAAGTAATTCAAATGACAATTACAGAAAGTGACGATTTTGTAACCTTTTAGTTACTGTCAGTTTCGCAAATACTACCATATGCCAATATACTTTTGGTACTTGACAAGTATAACATATGAAATTAAGACTAAAGCTGGCCCAGCCAGTGTGGCTCAGTGGTTGAGCGTTGACCTATGCACCAAGAGGTCGCCAGTTTGATTCCCGGTCGGGGCAAATGCCCAGGCTGTGGGCCAAATCCCCAGTTGGGCGGCATGCAAGGAGGTGGCCAATCGATGTTCTCTCTCATTTCTATCTCTCTTTCCCTCTCCCTTCCTCTCTCTCTAAAATCAAGGAAAAAAAAAAAAAGACTAAAGTTAAAATTCCAGATTCCCTATCCTGGCTATAAATCTGAAAATACTGGTTAAACCAGTCATTTCATTCGTGCTCCATGAAACATTTTTAACGACCTTTTTGTGTGTGACCTTTTTCTAAGCCATACTCCTCTTCTTGCTGTACTCTTTCAAGATGACCTTATCTATTCTCATGGCTTAAACTGTTTCCTACATACAAATGATTCACAAATTGGTATCAGGTCTCTCTTTTCAGGCCAATACCTTTTATTTCTAATTGCCTATTTCAGATCTCTTTGTGGATACCTTGAAAGCACAAAAACTAAACTTAAGACCTGTTTCATCATTATTTACTCCTTAAAGGCACTCCCAGTGACACCACTATCCATCTGCTTTTGCAAGCTAAAAATCTATAACTGAAACTGCCCTTCTCTTACCCTTCTCCTATCCAAAACATTAGTAAGTTTTATCAATTTTATCTTCCAAATACCTCCTGAAACATCTACTATCCATCTATATACTTCCCTAGCCACCAAGTAAACACTGTTTATTTAATTACTGTGTTATGCCTTTTAATTGGTTCAACTTTACCCCTTGCTTAAAAAGTTGATTTTAGGATAAAGACCAGGATCTATATGCTCTTTATTGGTCTCATCTCCACCTCCCATGCCAGCCTTATCTCAAATAAACTTCCCCTTGATCAGCTTCCAGTCACACTGGCTACTTTCTCCAACAGCTTCTTTATATGGAACATGTCCTCACTTTCTGCCTCCCATACCCTCCATGGGCAAACTACTACCAATTTTATATCCCTCTTGACAAGCCTCCATGACTAGGTCAAATCACCTATTTTTTTTTTTTTAACTTCTTACTACCATGTACTTCTCATTCCTAGTACTTGTCAGAACT